TATGATGCCGTCTATGACGCAAGCAATACGTGTTGTCGATGGCAGTACAGTACCAGTAATCGAAATGTGCACTGCTCGTGTCAGCATTGCTGGTCGTCACGTCGTGGTCCTTTTTGCCGTGCTAGCCTGCTGCCCTCACGACCTCATACTTGGCGTTGATTTCCTTTCGGCACACTCGGCCTTAATTGATTGTTCGTCTGGCTGGTACCCTCAGCCTCGATGTTCCAATCTTTACCGACTACTCTGCAAAGCCCACCAGCCGCTTGAGCCTAACCACTTTCGTTCGCCTGCCACCTCGAGCCGTCACGTACGTCTTTGTCAACGGCCCCTCCCGTTCCTGACGATGATTATATCGTTACGCCGATTACTGACGTTCAGCTGACGCGCAGTGTTACTGTGCCCCATACCATCGCGATTGTAGGGGATAACTGTGTGTTCCTTCTGCTCCTAAACTTTAGTTTTACCCCTCAAGTGTTGCCCTGCCAGATGTCTCTAGCCCAGCTAACTGCTGTAACAGAGGACGATATCCGTGTTGTTGCTGTATGTGCTCCTGATCGAAGCGCAGTCTCACGGTCACCCAGCTCAGACGATGCTATTTTTCAAAACATGATTGAATCGGAGCTGTTGCCTTACCAGGCCGACACTCTCTGCCAGGTTTTGGCCTCATACAGTGACATTTTCGACACTGATGATCGTCCCTTGGGCCAGACTAAAATTGTCACTCACCGAATCAACACTGGTGACTCTGCGCCCATTCACCGTAGGCCATACCGCGTGTAAGCATCTGAGCAAGAAGTGATTCAGAAAGAAGTGGCCAAAATGCTTACAAAAGACGTAATAGAACCATCATCGAGCCCTTGGGAATCTCCCGTGGTATTAGTAAACAAGAAAGACGACTCATGGCATTTCTGCGTTGATTATCGCCACCTCAACAAAATTACTAAAAAAGACATGTACCCTCTACCACGCATTGACGATGCCCTCGATTGCCTCCATGACACCACCTTCTTTTCATCTCTCGACCTCCGATCTGGCTACTGGCAAATTGCTGTAGATAACATAGACCAAGAAAAGACCGCCTTTGTTACCCCTGATGGTCTTTACCAACTCAAGGTCATGCCCTTCGGTCTCTACAACACTCCAGCGACGTTCGAGAGAATGATGGACAAGCTCCTACAAAAATTTAAATGGTCGACATGTTTGTGTTACCTGAACGACGTGATCATTTTCTCACCTACCTTTGCAACCCACCTTGAGCGCCTTTTGACCATTCTATCTATATTTCGACGAGCCGGCCTGCAGCTCAATTCCTCCAAGTGCCACTTCGGTCTTCGTTAGATTACCGTGTTGGGTCACCTTGTTGACGCTGCCGGCGTACGACCACACCCGGCGAAAGTACGCACTGTAACAAACTTCCCAGTCCCACGCTCTGTCCATGATGTTCGCAGTTTCGTGGGCCTCTGCTCCTACTTTTGCCGGTTCAAGAAAAACTTTGCGGCGCTCGCACGGCCACTCACCTATCTTCTCAAACACGACGTCCCATTTTGTTGGGGCCCTTCTCAAGCTGATGCTTTCTCTCAGCTAATACCGCTCTAACGACACCTCCTATTCTTGCACATTTCGACCCCGATGCTCTTACAGAAGTGCAAACAGACGCAAGTGGTCATGGAATTGGTGCAGTTTTGGCGCAAATTCAGCGGGGCAACGATCGTGTAATTGCGTATGCAAACCGTCTGCTTTCTAAGTCTGAACACAATTATTCTATAACAGAACGGGAATGTCTCGCCCTTGTCTGGGCGGTTTCGAAATTCCGTCCTTACTTGTATGGCCGGCCTTTCCGTGTCATCACAGATCATCACGTGTCGTGTTGGCTTTCTTCTCTGAAGCACCCCACTGGACGACTTGGCCTTTGGGCATTACGCCTATAGGAGTATGCCTACTCGGTTGCTTATAAGTCTGGACGTCTTCATCTGGACTTCGATTGCTTATCCCGCTACCCTGTTGATCAGCCCGACAAATCAGATATCGAGCCTAGCCTCAGCATCATGTCAATGTCCCAGTTTCTTCAGATTGGTGATGAACAACGTCGTGATGCTTCTCTGCGACAACTTATGGACCGTCTCGAATCTGCTCCGAATGACACGTCGCTTCGCATGTACGTCCTCCTGAATGGCACGCTGTACCATAGTAGCCTCCTGCCAGATGGCCCTGAGCTCCTTCTTGTCGTGCCGAAACATTTGCGTTCAACCATGCTGCACGAGCTTCACGATGAACCAACTGGTGGTCATCTGGGTGTATCTCGGACGTACGACCGCGTGCGTTGCTGCTTCTTTTGGCGCGGTCTCACCCAGTCCGTTCACCCTTACATGTCCTCCTGCGATAAATGCCAACGTGGAAAGCAACCTACTGCGCCCTCGGCTGGATTTCTTCAACCAATCTCCATCCCAATCGCACCTTTCTTCCGTGTTGGTATAGATCTTCTCGGTCCTTTTTCTGAGTCAAAATCAGGCAACAAATGGGTCGCCGTTGCTATAGACTATGCGACTAGGTATGCTATCACTCGAGCACACCCAACCAGCATCGCTACTGACGTTGCATACTTTTTGCTCCACGATGTCATCCTACACCATGGCGCTCCTCGCAAATTAGTCACGGATCGCGGCCGCGCATGTTCGTCCCGTGTAATTGACGATCTTCTGCACTCTTCCTCAACGCAGCACAAGTTGGCCACTTCCTACCATCCCCAAACAAATGGTCTTACTGAACAGCTAAATTGCACCCTCACCGACATGCGACCAGTGCATGTGTCCTCCAACCATCATAACTGAGACCTGGCGCTACCTCAGGTTACCTTCGCGTACAACTCTTCGCGCCACGACACCACTGGTTATTCCCCCTTTTATTTGCTTTATGGCCGTGATCCGACAATACCACTCGACACCGTACTTCCAACCACTACAACGCCATTAACCGATTATGCACGCGACGCTATTGCTCGTGCCGACCACGCATGTCAGATCGCCTGCTCTAGACTTTCGGCTTCGCAAGCAACCCAGAAAGCCATCTACGACTGCCGGCATGTTGACAATTGCTCCTCACCCGGTTCTCTCGTTCTTCTGTGGTGCCCAGTTCGTTGAGTTGGCTTATCAGAGAAGTTGTTGTCTCGCTACATGGGTCTTTACCGTATCATCCGCCAGATAACCGACATCCCCTATGAGATCATTCCTGCATCTGAGACCACAAGCCTGCCTGCAACCATACCCAGTGATGTTGTGCACGTCAGCAGTCTAAAACCTTACCACCTGCCTACTGAAGACCGTAGTTAATGTGCACCGAGACGGCGCTTTTATCACCGGGGCGGGGGGGGGGGGGGGGTAATGCTACGTAGCTGACATATCAGGGGTAAGAAGACGACAGCGAGGAAGTGGTCTGTCGGTTGTGCATGCTGTCCTCCATCTTAGTCGATGCTATATGCATCAGTTTCAATATAAATTGTAAATAGACACGCCCCGTGTCATTTTTACGTAACAATATGTAGCAGAGATCGCTTCTTCCAGCAAATGCTTCGTGCACACATGGTCAGTAGGCTGCAATGCTTTGTCAGAATTGCCCGTAGTCACTTATTGAAGCACTCTGGTACATGCGGAGCCTTGAAAAGCCACACATGCTCAGTATAGGCGTCTGACACCCCGACTTGCAATTCAGGACAAAACACCACTTACTCATTTCTTGGTGCAACCATAGACAAGGTCGCTCACACCTATTCGGAGTCATATGCAGCATCAAGATACGTGTGCACTGATTAACAAGGTGCTACTCAGCGAAAAAATTGCACTGGAAATGCTCACAGACACAAGGCAAAGATGTCCTAAAATTGTTCCTGCATTTAAGAAATATGATAAGGTTTTCGTTTCCAACTAACACCTTATTACAATACTGCCTGTACTCAGCAAAGTTATAGAGGAGCGCTTTGAAAAATGTTTAATGAATTACTTAACAAAACTTAATATTCTTTGTGCCACACAGTCTGGCCTTCGTGCAGGCTACTCTATCACCTTCTCGCTTCTTTCATTCATGGATAAGAATAAATACTACATTGACGCAGGTAATTATGCTGGAGCAGTGTTTATTGATGTTCGATTCAATCATTCATAAAATTTTAATTACTAAATTAAACATGGCTAGTGTGGTAGGGTCTGCATCAACATCCATCCACAAAAATAGCTGTGCAATCTCTGGAACGGGCCTGTTTCCCCTGAATGTAGCTACACATTAGCCACTTACACTCGCCCAACGAATAATCGCGGCCAGCCAGAGAAAAGACATGATGCGTTTCCTTTTAGTCGGGCAGAGGTGTTCAATAACTCCAATACGCCACGAGTAGGCTACTTTAGCCAAAGTTCGGCGTTCAATCGGTCGTGCTTTTCTGGCACTGAAATCACTTTCTGCAATTCTGCTCTAGCCGTTAACTATACTACAGCTTCTACAAGCATTTATGGCCTCATGAGTTTGTTTAATAATTAATGATGAATGTTAGTTGTTGGGATGTAGATGTATTACTATGGACGCTTCCACCTTAAGGGGTGCTGTAGCTGTCAAACGCCAACGGACAGTGTTCAAGCTCTCTGATATAAATGTACAGTAAACGACTTCTGTGAGGACATGTCTTGCTTTCGTATTTTACCGATTCCTATGACGGAGGGATCAACCAAGTTTTTTATGTGTATGTATGTATGTATGTATGTATGTATGTATGTATGTATGTATGTATGTTGTATGTATGTATGTATGTATGTATGTATGTATGTATGTATGTATGTATATACATTCTACAATGCACGGCATTTTGTTTCCTTTTGTTGTTGTTACTGTACGGTTTTAACTGCACAATACATACAACACTTCAGTTGAGTGTGTATGTGCCCCCTCCTGCTTGAACTTCTAAGCAGGCCTCTCATACTATTTAAGTAAAACAAAATAATAAAATGGTCACGACCTACCAGCCAGGACAGGCACCTTGTGGGAAGAGATGCCTCGGAGCACTTTGTAGCCAGCAGATGGAGCTACAATTGACACCAGTGTACCACAATCAGTCTCCTGCATGGCGTTGTCATCTACACCTTCGATCCAGCAGCGCTTGGAGAGTTCTTCCCGGTTCCAGGGCACCAAGACAATTTCTGACCGACTCCACGACAAAGTGTTCACGAACACCAGGTCGCCGCTGTTGTGGTCATCACATGTGCCTGTGCGATAATGCGAGCATTATGTACCATTACGATTCAACAATAAAGTGGTTATGAAACACACAGCGCAAGTAACGAGGCTGATTGATTGATATGTGGGGTTCAACGTCCCAAACCACCATATGATTATCAGAGACGCCGCAGTGGAGAGTTGCGAAAGTGTCGACCACCTGTGGTTTTTTAACATGCACCCAAATCTGAGCACACAGGCCTATGAAAATTTCCCCCCCGTTGCAAGTAACGAGAGGGACACAGAAAGCGAACACACACACGCGCACACGGAGGGCTGGTTGACACCAATTCCAAGTACACAAGTGAGACTTACTACAATAGAGGGAGCTTGGGCTTGTTGGTGAACCACTATGAAATATGTATCCTCGCCGTTACTTGGGCTGTGCGTTTCATGTGTCCCCACTAAAAAACCAAAGCTCGCTCCAAAGGAGAGTGGCTTCAGGAAGAAGCTACTGCCGTGCGAAATTTCCAAGCTAACGGGTAGTCAAAGCTTAGTGTTACCAGAGTCTAGAGCAACTTTCTACTGCTCACGAAACTTCCGGCCAAGTTTGGTGTAGGGATTGCGGCCTGGTGCAGGGGCGCCTCTGCAAACAGGGAGGCTGACTTCCGTGTCGACGGAGAACGTATTTTTGGAGAAACGACAGCGCAGTGTTTTTGCACAATTCAAACTTGCCTTCATCTCATTTTGAAAAGGGGCAATGCAACAACACGAGGAAAGAAAGACAAAGAGACAAAGAGCGCTGACTAACAACTGATCTCCTATTGCCGTCACCTGTGCATATATATGTGCCACAAAAAAGGGGGAGAGACACGCGACTGTGTCTAATTTAGAAGCAAGTTAACTAAGCTATTTTCAACTAGTAAAAGAAAAATAGGAAACTGAAAAATGATAAAGAACAATAAAGATACTTTAAGGAACTCACGCATGCGTGATGAGTGCGAAACACCAGTCCATGACGAACACGAGCATAAAGGCTCAGGATCGACAATCAAACAAAACCTCTAAAATACATATATTCAGCGTCAGACAAAGATATGGAAGGACTGCTCATGCATTTGTCACCTGCTTAACAAATGAAAAATGCCTAGACAATCTCACGCTCTAACTTATCCCTCAGCATCATTAAGGGGAGATGCAAGTCAAAAAACGAGTTTTTTTCAAAATTACTGATTTTTTATTTTTGCCTGTTTTGATAAGATTAGTACCTCTACTGTTATGAAAAAAATAATACAGGTCGAAACTTGACTAGAAATACTTCAAAAATGCATCTAAAGAGCACAAGGTGCCTGTTAAAGGGTCGAAAGTGTGGAGCCTTCGAGCACCTTGCCGCCGATAATGCACCGCCGCTCGCCATTGTTGATCGCATGAGTCGAAGCGTCGAGCCTCACTCTTCAAATAACAACAGTTTCTATCACTGAGGCAGCGTGAGAAATATTAAAAAGAAGCACACTTCTGTGTGTTTTTCGAGCGCCGCGACTAGCTTATCACATGGAACGAATCTGGGACCGCCATTGGCCGCTGTGCGCCTGTATGTGCTGTGAAACTTATTTGCGGGGTCCATGTCTTGTCGAGCAGCGCAGCTGAACAATGCTTTTCTCGCATAATTATCTTCGTTATGAATGAAAAAAGGCATTACTCACAAGTGAAAGTCGTTGTGCTGCATGCTCTGTAGGAATCGGCTACGAGGAGCAGGTCCGATTTGCGGCAGTTAATTTGTTGGCTTGCAAAAGCCAATGTGTCAAAAGTTATTCACACCCGTCGGCCGGAAAGTTCATGATGCGGCAACGAATGATGTCAGGGCCAATCTTGCGAGATCGAAAGAGCTCGCAGTGAGAGAACTTAGCAGGGACGGCATTGCCATTATGTACGACAGTATGTGGCACAAACATGGCTGAAAAATGGCATGACACTGGACTTAGTTTGGATTTCGCAGTCCTGTCGAACTTCTTCCTAGCTTGCAGTTGGCACAAGGCTCTGCCAGATGAAGCGGAAGTTTGGCAAGCCTTTCATGACCCTGTCTGTGAGCGAAATGTCTGTGAGGAGTCGGCTCGAAGAAGCTGAGAGGGACAAACTCATGGAGAGGGACAAACTCATGAATATTAAAAAAAAAAGTGTCTTTGAGTAGCATCTCCCCTTAAACTGTGTGCTGCGAAAGTCAGGCGAGCAACTGCAACGCCTGCGATGGTCAGCCAGAAGACCACTAGTCGTATTACGTACATTATGGTCATGCTCCTTCGCCCTTTCACTAAAACACCTGCCTGTCGGTCGTTGGTTGCCGTATTCAAGATAAGCTGCAAGTACCGCAATTTGTCAAAATCTTTTGACATGCTGATGACTTTTTAGTAATTTTGAATGATGTTACGGACCTTGACATCGTCACTGATAATGTTTTGCATGTCTTTCAGAGTGAAATTCAAGGCCTCGAATTTATGCATAAAATGCCTGATAAGCGAACGTTGCAGTTACTTGACATTTGCATGTTTTTTGCGAATAACTATATATTTTGGAAGTACAATCCTAGTTCTAAGAAACCTCTGTTACCTCATGAAAGACCCCATTCAAAGCTTCTTAAGCTAAGCATCCCAATGAGCTGTTTGCACTGAGCCCTGAATAAGTCAGGAGTACATGCTATTTCATCTAGCTCTAATGCACAGGTTACCAGACTGAAGCAGGCGGGATATCCCCTTGAATTAATTTCTGCAGTTTGTGAGACCCTATTACAGAACATAAAGCACAATCAAACAAAAGAAAAGCTTGGTAGAAAAATGATGAAGCATGTGTACCTTATCCCATACGTTCACAAAATTTCGCATAACTTGAAGAGACTTGCATCAAAGCATGACGTTCAAGTTGTACTGTCCGCGGCTTGCAAACTCTCGAGGTTATGTGGCATGACGAACAGAGTTAAACTGGCTGCACAACCAAACACAGACACAGGTTTACTGAGTGCATTTCCAATGTGGTGTATAACTTTCTTTTAGCTTGTGGACTTGAGTACATTGGCCAAACTGGCAGGTGCTTTCATGGAAGGGAGAAAGAGCATGACTATAATGTACATAATATAACTAGTGGTTTTCTGGCTGACCATTCCCGGCGTTGCATCAGCTCTCCTGACTTTCACAGCACACAGTTATCCGTGATGGCGAGTGATAAGTTAGAGCATGAAATTTTCAAGGCTTTTTTCATTTATCAAGCGGGTGACAAATGCGTAAGCAGTCTTTCCATACCTTTGTCTGATGCTGAAATTATGTATCTTAGAGATATTGTTTAATTGCAATCCTTACCCTTTGTGCTCATATTTTGTCATAGGCTGGTGTTTCTCACTCATCCTGCATGTGTGAGTTCCTTAAAAAGTTTTTATTGTTTTTTATCGTTTTTCAGTTTCTTATTTTCTTTCACTGGTTGAAATCAGCTTTGTTATCTTGTCTTTAAACTAGGCACCTTTGCGCGCCTCTTTCCTTTTTTGTGGCTCATATATATGCACAGGTGACGGCAACAGAAGATCAGTTGTTAGTGCTCTTTGTCTCTCTGTCTTTCCTTCATCATGATGTTGTGCTGCCTCTTTTCAAGATGAGTACTATGGACCAGCTAGCCCAAACCAAAATACTTCTCTTGCCTCCATCTGTAGCTTTATGAGTACATAAGCTACTAGCGTAAAGTTTCATTAGGTTTATTACTTGTACTTTTTCTTGCATCACCCATGTGATTTTTTTGTTTCTCTTTTTTTCCACCACGTGGCTGAGGTGTGCCCGTAGACTTACTGCGTGCATACACATGTGACTTGAAGTATATTGCATTCATTATTTTAGTGATATTTTTTGGCTCAGGGCACTGCATATGATACACAGTGTCTTGTGATTATTATGTGTGACAATTTTGAAACACGTGGACACCAGCTATTTCAACTAGTCACAGAAAAACATCTGTAAAGTGCTCAGAGTGGAGAATGGCTAGCAAAATAAAATTATAATTGATGGAGCGCAGGCTGACAAGGTCAAAAGAAAGACAGTGTCGGCAGAAACACAGGAGGCCGGCAGGATTTCAACGTTTTGTAACACATGTGTGAACAGTCTGTCAGTGCTCTTCTGAGATAAAGAACTGGAGTGCAAGTGCATGCAATGTAATGCTTTTTCTAAGCTACTAGAATAAAAACGTGTACACATGATGAATTTTACTTAGTGTGCATATGTCTGTGATGTATAGGCGTGCGTGCGAGGGGGGAGGCAGGGGAGCAGCGGCCCCCTAGTCACCTAAGAAGGTGGTCTGCCCCAAACGTAGACTTAGTAAGAAGAAGGACCCCGAGCCTTTGCCCCCCCCCCCCCCCCCGCCTGAATGGGAACCCTGCGCACACCTATGATGTGATGTATGCATGCAGCTAACACTTAATAGTTGTGAGAGCTTTGCACATGTGACATGTGTCGTCACAAAAGTATATTGCCCTATTCGTTCCTTGAGTTTTGTTATCGTCCTGTAATACTGCGAATTCAACCTTGTGCAAACCGCACAGAATGACCAAGAACAATCGCAATACTTCTAAAACTATCCCATGTGGTTGCGCAGCCAATGCGAACATTACAATTTGAACTAGTCCATACGCGGGCGCTATCAACGACTCTGAAATATTCGACGACACATGTGCAAATGATAAGGCGCTTTACTGCTTGTCACTTTATTGACAGCTGACGCTCTGTTCGCCGTCATCACTTTCTAATCATATCGCTATAATCTGACTTTGCCTTGACTGGCCACAAGTTCGGTCAAATAAATCACTTCATTCTTGACCTACAGTCTGCTCTCTTCGTCCCCGTCACGACCCCGTGACATAGATGCCAGCTGGATGAGTCAGTAATGAAACCGGTGCTCAAAGTTGGCACTGTGTTTGTGTTTAATGTGCCTTATTTTGTCCTTAGTGTGCACACCGCCAATTATCATGTGTTACCAAGCCCTAATTGCCACTCTCGTAAAAGATTAAAGTTTGCGCAGATGC